TCCCATTACGTGACCTCCCGTTACTGAACCCGGCCCGTGACCTGAGTATTCTTGTCTACTGTCTTGTACCGTTTGCTCCGTTGTTATTGACCCGGCCTGTCTGACCACGCTATACGTTTTCCATCTAGCTCCCACCAGCTGTACGCCATTGGCAGCAGTCGTTACCGCAGCTGGGGTTACTCGGGGGCCGCGACCTGGTCGCAGGCTGCATCAAGTCCATCCCCACCATCAGGGGCCCTGGTGAAGGGCAGCCTGGGCTTAGACTCCGCGCCCTGAGGGACTCTGGTCTGTGAGTAGCGGCTGTCGTCAGTCCGCTGTGTGACCTTACCATTAGGCCTGCCTGCCCATTCCACCGCTCCTGCCCTGACAGTTTCATATCACAGAGCATCAAGGAGGAATTTAAATTTGACCAGTTCATTACATGTACTACTCCATATGTGACATACGTGTTGGAATGTCCGTGCAAATTACAATATGTAGGAAGAACGACTAGGCCACTCTATAAAAGTTTAAGAGAACATGTCTCGAATATAAAGAAGGGAAAGAAGGACCATAATTTATTTAGACATTTTAGAGATACCCATAAATGTGATCCAACAGGACTACAGTTCTGCGGTATAGACAGAGTGGAGGCACACTGGAGAGTAAGTAACAAAATTATAGAAATCTCAAAAATGAAACATTTTGATACTCTAAGACCTAAGGGTCTTAATGTAGATTTGGACCTTAATTGTTTTATTTCAGTTATATAAAATATTTTAATAAGTTGTTATATATTTTAATGCTAGTGGGATAAAATTATTAATGGTTCCTCTGTTCAGTTTTTAAATAACGAAGTAACGTATGCTCATATATTTAAATGGCCTGGAGATAACTGAAAAGATCCGGTTTAAAATGTGAACTCCAGTTTATATTTATAGTTTTTATTTTGGTTATTTAATCTTGTATTTAATATAGTATCTTATATAGATTTTGATGATTGGGGGATTTTTAGTTTTTGTGTGAGTAAAGATATTCTAATGTATGATGTTTAAAATAAGAGATATACTGATTGGACGTTTTAAATATTTGTGTCTAGGCTCTGATAATTTTTAATAGTATAATTTTAATATAATAGATTATAGATCTGTAGGTAGAATCAAGAATATAATAATTAAATATGTGGGTAATAATGATTTAATATATGGGGTTGATAAAATATAATTGGATTGTAGGAATGGATTATTAAATTAATAAATAAGATCTCAAAGGGGATAAGTAGTTAAATTTAATATTTACTGTCTGGTTTTTATTCTATACAGAGTTAAATAGTGCATTTAAGGATCACACCACTAGATGGCACTGGACATGATAATATACAATGGGATTGCAGTTTTATATTAAGGTATGCATATTAGGATTAATAGAATGGTAATGACCAGGTAAATATAGATATAAGTAATTGTATATATTGTTCCGTTTAGATAGGTAAGATATAAGTAGTGGTTTCATGTATTAGATTATTGGTAGAATGCCCTGTTTCAAGATGGCGATATCGCTCTGCATCAAGGGGAGGTGCAGGACTATTTAAGTGGCCGCTCATCCAACGTACACACCCTTTGTGAAGAAGTCAGAAGTGACGAAACGCGTCAAGGAAGTGACGTCGGACGTAGACGTACAACCGGAAGTTGCAGAGCGGCCATCTTGACTGAGGTTATTGATTCACAAATTAAGATTTTACATAGTATTCAAATTCTTTTACTATAAAGAAGGATCACAAAGTTTTTTTCTATATGTTTTTATTGTAAGCATAACTGTATTAAAATATATCCCTTTGAATATGATATACTACACCATAAAGATTCTGTTTTGACCCTTATTATGCTACCAGATGGAGAGTGAGCTGAGCAGGGATGGTCGGATGAGGAGAGCTTTTCATGATTATTAAAGTGTTTTATCTGGTAAGGTGCATGGTGTGTGAAGTGACGGGGAGTGTATCTCACATTTACACGTGTACTGTGAATATTAGGGAAGCACTTTTTTTTACCAAAGGATATTGCACTATTATTGTTTTTGAGGAAATATTGAAGAAAGAAAAGACGGATTGGAACACGGTTTTGGAGTATATGATATTGAGAGCTATAAACAAGTTTGGATAGGGTAAGGGTGTTTAACACAGCCATTTAGATGTGGACACTAAGTGGGGTGACACGTCAGTAACCACAGGGTGATTATTCTTTTTGTATATTTTGTGTGGGATAATGCACTATATTGAGTTTTCTTTTTTTGAGGATTTCACGGATTAAAGGAATATCTTTATAAAGGTGGATTAAATCTGAGAGCACGTATATAAAAAATGTTTGAGGATATCACAGACGTTGAAAGATTATTATATTGACTTTTGAACTTTCTGTGGTGAAAGTGGAACTTTTGCGTCTATGGAGATTTTAGGATTTTTTTAGAGTGATTATTGTTAGGTGCACCGCATTTGTGTGAATTAAAGAATACCATTCAGCTGCAGCACCGATTTTGTTCTGACAGCAAGGAGTCTTGCTCTCACAATATACGTCGGTGCGTGCAGCGCTGTTGGATGAGATTTTTCATCCGCAGTTGAAAAAAAAAAAAAACATGCTTAAGCATGGTGGCCTGGAGTGGTCAGTGGGTGGATCGTCCCTATACTTCGGCATATATGTCTTTCATTTTTTCTGACAGATTTCAATGAAGAAGTTGCCATTTTACTGAGTTAATGTTCTATTGTTACTGAGTTTTATTCTTAACCGTTGTTGTTTGCTTTGCTGCAGCATCGATCTGTTTATTCTAACAGCAATGGGGTCTTACTCTCAGAATATATGTACTGATATATATTCTGAGAACAAGACCCCATTGCTGTTAGAATAAACAGATCGATGCTGCAGCTGAATGGTGTTCCTGCAAAGCAAACAACAGCGTGGAGCGCTGTTGGATGAGATTTTTCATCCACAGTTACAAAAAAAAAAATATGCCCAAGCATGGGGGCCTGGGGGTGGTCAGTGGGTGGATCACCCCCATGCTTCGACATATTTATTTATTTTATCTTAATTTTTTCTGGCAGAGATTTCTTCATTCACATTGATCAGTGTGAATGGAGGAATCTGTTAGGTTCTCTTTTTTTCGTTCAGCCCACAGGTTGAATGAAAAAAAAAGAACTTTTACATATATGCCCAACAAGGACCAGTGATGTATTGGTATGTCTAGGGACTTTGAGTGGTTATACTGGGATTATTCCTGCAGCTACAGGCATCATTCTGGTATCGTTTTTTTCTGCCAAAGGTCGGCTTTCGTGTAAAAGCAATCCTAGTGGTTAATTAGCCATGGATTGCTTTTACAAGCAGCAGGAGGGGATGCCACTCCCGCCGCATTCCATGGAGAACCCAGGAATGCAGCAGGTGGTTCAGCCTGCTGACCATAAAGCTGATCAGAGACTGGAACAGCTCCAATCAGCTCAATGGTCTAAGAAACCGGAAGTTCCGAGCATTTCATCATTTTGGTTTCACTGGATATAAACTGTGCCATTTTTAAAAACCGGAAAGCATCTAATCACACTAACACTAATCTTGGTATCATCAGATGCTTTAAGGACAGAGGAGAGATCTACAGTCTAATAGACCCCAGATTTCTCAGAAAGGAATACCTGTCACTACCTATTGCTATCATAGGGAATATTTACATTCCCTGTGGTAACAAAGTGATATAAAATAAATAAGTTAAAGGAACAGTGTATAAATTTAAAAAGATAAAATCATAAAAGAAAAAATTAAAGCACCCCTGCGCTCGTACGCAAGCATTGGCCCCTTGTCAATATGTAAACAGCAGTTGCAGCATGCATGTAAGATATCCTTGCAAATGTCAGATCGGGGGCCGTAATTCTAGCACTAGACCTCCTGGCACCCTCAGGCTTCCAAAGGAGTCATTAGATTTTGGGCTCCTGTATGCGGTTAGGCTACCAAAAAGCTACACATGTGGTATCCATGTAGTAGCAAAATGTATTTTGGGGTGCAGTTCTACATATACCCATGTCATGTGTGAGCAATATATTATTTAAGTGACAGTGAAGAATTTTCCATGGACTCAATGGGGTTTATTTACTAAACCTGGTTGACTCAGAATCTTGGGCACCTGTGCATGGTAGCCAATCAGCTTCTAACCTCAGCATGTTCAGTTAAGCTTCAGCAATAAAACCTGGAAGCTGATTGGTTTTTATGCAGAAGTGGACAAGATTCTGAGTCAACCAGGTTTAGTAAATAAACCCCAATATGTCTCTCAGCAAATAGCTTAGGGTGTCTACTTTCCAAAAAGGGGTAATTTGGGGGGTGTTTTGCACTGCCATGGCTTTTTAGCACTTCAAGAAATGTGATAGGCAGTCAGAAAGTAAAAGCTGTGTAAATTCCAATATATATACCATAGTTTGTAGATGCTATAACTTTCACACAAACTAATGAATATACATTTATTGGGATTTTTTTTTTTTTTTTTTTTTTTTTTTACAAAAGACATGTAGACTTTGAGTGGTTATACCGGGATTATTCCTGCAGCTACAGGCATCATTCTGGTATCGTTTTTTTTCTGCCAAAGGTCGGCTTTCGTGTAATTGTGGCGTAAATTTATGACTAACTTTGAATTTATTGGATATTTTTTACAACAAAGTAAAAGTGTTTTTATATCAGAAAGAAAATATTTTTTTTTCAAACGTTTTGGTAATTTTTCATTTATATCACAAAATATAAAAAAAAACCCAGTTGTGATCAAATACCACTAAAAGGAAGCTCTGTTTGTGTGAAAAAAGGACATACATTTTGTTTGAGTATAGTGTCGCATGACTGTGCAATTACCAGTTGAAATGGCACAGTGCCAAATAGCAAAAAATGGCTTGGTCATTAAGGGGAGTAAATCTTCCAAGGGCAAGTGGTTAAAAGAAAAAAAAAGTAAATAGCTTGTGATGTGCTAGGTATTTGCACCAAATAATATAATTTCTTCCGTTACAGGCTCAAGCAAAAGCAAATGCAAAGACATATGAATTCCGAAAGGACTCTGCTCGTGGTGTAAGAGTTTCTTATCCAGGTCGTCCTTCCCAGCAAGTCCCATCTAGGTCAAGGGAAGGGTTAAGGAGTGCCCCAAATCCTTTGCAAGAGAGCAGTGGGGCAAGTGATATCTTCAAAGAGAGATTAGGCCAACCAGATAATGGAGAGGAGCGATTTACTTTACATTTTAAGAAAAAAAAAATCACCGTGGAAAAGGACTCCATAAAGAAGATGCTCAAACCATAAGAGTGTCTCCTACTAATCATAGTAGTCAGGTTGAACATATGTCTGGTTCTACCAGGGTACATGAAGCAGGACAACTAAAATATAAATCAACTTACAGTGTCATACAGGTTGCAAGACGGCAGAACTCAGAATTGGGGTCAACAAGCCAAACCGATCTTTGTTTCACATCTAAGGAACTTGGAGATACACACACAAGACACGATCAGAAGTCAAGTTATGATGGACATACACATAAGACAAATTTTAGAAGTAATACTAAAAGTTCCAACTCCCAAGAGACACTCATGCCAAAAAATAGGCACAACTCTGGATACCATCAACAGGTATCTGATTTCTACAAGGATGCTTTGGTAACACATAGGGGAAAGCCTTCTCTTATTGCTCGTATTCCTGTGGCCAGGATACTTGGGGAACCAGAAGACGAGACTTGGAGACCCTCAGCAGACAACTTGGAGAAAGTAATAGTTACAGATGTGACGTCAAATTTTCTGACTGTGACAATAAAGGAAAGCAACACAGATGAAGGATTTTTTAAAGATAAAAGATGATCCTATTTGTATATGTAGCATTCACAAGTTAGATGCTGTAGTATTTTATATGTATGTGTGTAAATATTGTATACCCATACATTTTTTCACAAGTACCTTTGTAAAATATATTGTAAAATAATGAAATAATTCCTTATATAAAGAGAACAGTGACGGTGCACCTAGAAAATATGCCATATACAGTGCCTTGAAAAAGTATTCCTATCCCTTGAAATTTTCCACATTTTGTCATGTTACAACCAAAAATGCAAATGTATTGTTTGGGGATTTTATGTGATAGAGCAACACAAAGTGACACATAATTGTGAAGCAGAAGGAAAATGTTAATGGTTTTCAAAATTGTTTTAAAAATCTATATCTGAAAAGTGTGGCGTGCATTGTATTCGGCCTCCCCTGAGTCAATACTTTGTAGAACCACCTTTCGCTGCAATTACAGCTGCAGATCTTTTTTGGGATGTCTCTACCAGCTTTGCACATCTAGAGAGTGACATTTTTGCCCATTCTTCTTTGCAAAATAGCTCAAGCTGTATCAGATTGGATGGAGAGCATCTGTGAACAGCAATTTTCATGTCTTGCCACAGATTATCAGTTGGACTTAGGTCTGGTCTTTGGGTCATTCTAACACATGAATATGCTTTTATCTAAACCATTCCATTATAGCTCTAGCTGTATGTTTAGGGTCGTTGTCCTGCTGGAAGGTGAACCTCCTCCCCAGTCTCAAGTCTTTTGCAGACTCTAACAAGATTGCCCTGTATTTGGCTCCATCCATCGTTCCATCAACTCTGACTAGCTTCCCTGTCCCTGCTGAGGAAACGCATCCCCACAACATGGTGCTGCCACCACCATGTATTCACGGCGGGGATTGTGTGTTCTGGGTGATGTGCAGTGTTTTGCTTTTAGACCAAAAAGTTCAATTTTGGTCTCATCTGACCAGAGCACCTTCCTCCACGTGTTTGCAGTTTGCGAGAAGCCATGTGGGGGACACAGCAAATTGGATTTCTTATGGTCTTCTGTCAACAATGGCTCTCTTCTTGCCACTCTTCCATAAGGGCTAGATTGGTTGAGTGCACAACTGATAGTTGTCCTGTGGACAGATTTTCCGACCTGAGCTGTGGCTCTCTGCAGCTCCTACAGAGTTATCTCTGTTTTTGGCTGCTTCACTTATTAGTGCTCTCCTTGTCCTACCTGTCAGTTTAGGTAGATGGCCATGTCTTGGTAGGTTTGCACTTGTGCCATACTCTTTCCATTTTTGGATGATGGATTGAACAGTGCTCCGTGAGATGTTCAAAACTTGGGATATTTTTTTTTTTATAAGCTAACCCTGCTTTAAAATTCTCCACAATATTATCCCTGACCTGTCTGGTGTGTTCCTTTGCCTTCATGATGCTGTTTGTTTATTAATGTTCTTTAACACATTTTCTGCCACCCTATAGCAGATATACTGCTACAGGGTGGTAGGGGCACGCAAAATCACCCTACCCGCACTGCCATTCGCAGTCGCAGCTGTCAATCACTGGGTCCCGGCCAGTGATTACTTACCGGTGCCTGGTGATTACTGAGCATCTCTGACCAGGAGGAGGACTGTTATGTTTACTAACAGTTTTCCTCCGTCAGCTCGGGCACACTGCTGTGGATGGCTTACAGTGAAGTGCACAGACATCGCCCAATAGTAAGACACTCCCTCCAGACAGTTAACCCTTTGATCGCCCCTCATGTTAACCCCTTCCTGCCCAGTGCCATTAGTACAGTGTCAGTGCTTTTTTTTTTTTTTTTTTTTTTTTTTTAGCACTGATCAGTGTATTGGTGTCTTTGGGGATGTCCGTGACATCAAGTCAGTTCCCAACCACTGTCAGAATGTGCACCGTAGTCCCGCTGTAAGTCGCTGATCTCTGCAATTACTAGTAGGAAAAAACTGCCATTTGTAAACGCTATAATTTGCACGTATTTGGAATTTTGTTTATTAAAGTCATGTAGCAAAATACATTTTGGCCTAAATTTACGACAAAATTTGATTATAAAAAAAAAATTTACTGAACATGTTTTAATAGCAAAAAGTCAAAAACATTGTGTTTTTTTTTTTTTTTTTTTTCTCAAAATTGTCCGGTCCTTTTTTTTTTTTTTTTTTAATTGGGCAAAAAATAAAAAACACACAGGCGCTTAAATACCACCGAAAGAAAGCTCAATTCATGGGAAAATAAGGACGTAAATTTCATTTGGGTGCAGCGTTGCATGACCGCACAATTGTCAGTTAAAGTAATGCAAAAAATGCTCTGGTCAGGAAGAGGGGTAAATCTTCAGGAGGGCAAGTGATTAACAAACCTCTGTGGGCTTCACAGAACACCTGTATTTATACTGAGATTAACTTACACACAGGTGCACTCTATTTACTAAGGTGACTTCTGAAGGCAATTGATTCCACTAGATTTTAGTTAGGGGTTTCAGAGTAAAGGGTCTGAATGCAAATGCATGCCTCACTTTTCAGATATTTATTTGTAAAAAATTTTGAAAACCATTTATCATTTCCCTTCCACTTCACAATTATGTGCCACTTTGTGTTGGTCTATTATATAAAATCCCAATAAAATAAATTAGATTTTTTGGTTGTAACATGACAAAATGTGCAAAATTTCAAGGGGTATGAATACTTTTTCAAGGCACTGTATTTGGAGTTCAATGACCTATGTAAACACACAGCATATATTGCAATATTGAATATATATATATATATATATATATATATATATATATATATATATATATATATATATATATATATGTGTGTGTATGTATATATATATATATATATATATATATATGTATATATATATATATATATATATATATATATATATATATATATATATAATATATAAAATGTGTGTATGTATATATATATATCGCAATCATATACACAGGGCCTATAAAACTGTGCATAATGGTAGATTAATGTGCTTTTTTTTTTTTTTTTTTTTTTCAACACTGTTCACAAATAGTCTCTTTTTTAAAGTGAAAACAGTTCTCTGCAAATATTTAACTGCTTGCATAACTATACACTCCCTTTAATATAAATTGTTGTCAGAGTTGCATAATTCGTGAAATGGAGATCACTTGTATGCAAGGGGTGGCCAGTGATTGTAGTATACAATTATATCTGAAAGGTCAAAATTCTGGTAAATCTGTATCATGGTGTAACCTATATCATGAAGACAAAAGAAGGTGCTAAGCAACCCCATGAAAAGATGCGGGAAAAGCACACATTGAGAAACTGAATGGATTATAGAAGGTCACTGAAATTCCCTTGGAGAAGGAGTATTACATAGTTGTAAATCTGCTACAGGCTGCCCACCATAAGTGAGCGTTTGTGCAAGAGGGTGTGTTAGTGGGAGAAGCAAACAAGTATTACAGCTCTAAAGAGTAAAGTTGTTTCAGTGTGGAGCAGTCCTCGCTTGATAGAAGTTAATCTTTGATCATCTTCTATCGAAGGAACGTGTTGGAATATTTTCCTGGATCAGCAGCTGCAGCCACTGATCAATTAGTTCTGACAGCACCCATTGCTACAGCCAGCATACACTGCGCATTCGTCTGTCCACCTTTTTTTGTCTGGATGGAGGAATTTGTTGTTTTCTCTCTTCTGTCTGAACTTAAAGTGTTACTAAACCCATGACCCTGCATTCACTATATTTAGTCTCAAACAGTACACACAACATGGAGATGTAATTATTTTAGTAAATATAAACTGTTAAATACCTTTTCTCATCAGCAGTATATAGCAGTCTTGTGATTTCTATCAGGGTCCAACTGAGCACTGGTTAAAGCTTGTAGAAGGGGTTTTCCTTCTCCTCTGACTGCCCTATGAGGCTGCATATTACCCCTGACCCTCTGGATAGTGCTGATTGGCCCTGGGCTGATCACATGCACCCTCCCAAAGAAAAAAAAAACTAGCAATGCACAGTAAGCTGAGCATATGCAGAGTGACTCTGTATGGTCAGATAAATTATGAACAGTAGAAGGGGAGGGTCAGAGAAGACTGGATCATACCGCTTTTGTACACAATGTGGAGGATTAACCCCTTAGGTTCCACAGTGAGTATAACAAGTATGCTTTACTGCATATAAAGACTGATTTTACCATTGTGGGTTTAGTAACGCTAGATCTCAACAATGTGCTGAGATTTTAGATACTACTGCATATAACTGTTGCCAAGGTGCTTGGTGCTATGTTGAGTGGCAAAAAAAGTCACTTAACTAAAATTCATATGACATCTTACCTACAGCTTGCCAGAAGGCACCTGGGAAGCTCTAAAAGTAGCTAGAAGAAGGTTCTATGGTCTGAGTCTAAAAATTGGCTTTTAGACATAGAAATCAAACATAGCACATAATCTTAAACACACTGTCCAAACTCTTTAAGCATGTTGGTGGCAATATGATGCTGTGAGGACGTTTCTCTGCATCAGGCCAGGGAAGACTTGTAAAATTAGAGTGAATACAGGGAAATCCTGGAAGGAAACCTAATACAAGAAACCTGAGCCTAAGGAGAATATTTGTCATCCAACAAGACAATGACTTGAAAGCATAAAGCCATATCTACTTAGGGTCTAAAATGGCTAAGTTGGAGTTCGTATCTCAATCAATATTCTGTGGCTGGATGTGAGTAATGCTGGCCATACACGTGTTGAATTCCGAATGATTTGCCAATTGAAAATTTTTTGTTTTGTAATCGGATGTTGTCGTCTCCATTGATTTTGAAATTCAATCAACGAAACCTTCAATTTCATCTCATGTTACGGAAAAGAAATTTCGTGGCTGGGAATCTTCTTTTCTTTCCAGGTCACAACTCATGTGCCATTCTTTTTCAGTTATATTTCTCACAAGATTCTCCCATCATTGATTAGAAATTCATTAATTTTTCAAAGCATTTCTAACATGCCCGATCACTCCAATTCAATGGCCGCACGAAAATCG